AAATGTTCCACTTAAAAGATACAGAATTGCAGAATGGCTAAGAATTCACCAACCAAGTATCTTCTGCCTTCAGGAGACTCATCTGACACACAGGACTCACATAAACTTAACCTAAAGGAGTGGAAAAAGACATTCCCTACAAATGAACACCAAAAGCAAGCAGGAATAGCTATTGTTATATCAGACAAAACAAACTGTAAAGCAACACTTTTAAAAAAGACAAAGAGGGATATTACATAATAATAAAAGGCCTTGTCCATCAGGAAAGTATCACAATCCCAAATATATATGCACCTGACACTGGAACTCCCAAATTTATAAAACGGTTACTATTAGACTTAAAAAGTGAGATAGACAGCAACAAAATAATGGTGGGGGGACTTCAATACTCCACTGACAGCACTAGACAGGTCATCATGACAGACTATCAACAAAGAAACAATGGATTTAAACTATACCTATAACAAATGGAATTAACAGATATTTACAGAACAGTCTACCAAACAACTGCAGAACATATATTCCATTCATCAGTGCATGAAACTTTCTCCAAGATAGGCCATATGATAGGAGAGAAAATAAGTCTCAATCATTTAAGAAAATAGACATTATATCAAGTACTCTCTCAGACCACAGTGGAATAAAACTGGAAATCAGCTCCAAAAACACCTTCAAAACCATGCAAATGAATGGAAATTAAATAATCTCCTCCTGAATGATCATTGGGTCAACAATGAAATCAATGAAAATTTAGAAGTTCTTTTAACTAAATGATAATAGTGACACAACCTATAAAAATCTCTGGATAAGGCAAATGAGGTACTAGGAGGAAAGTTCATACCCTTATATGCCTACATCAAAAAGTCTGAAAGAGCACAAAAAAACAGTCTAAGGTTACACTTCAAGGAACTAGAGAAACAAGAATAAACCCAACCCAAATCCAGCAGAGGAAAGAAATAAAGATCAGAATAGAACTAAATGAAATCAAAAAAAAAAAAAAAAGAAATACAATATAAATGAACAAAAAGCTGGTTCTTTGAAAAGATAAATAAAATTAATAGACCATTAGCAAGATTAACCAAGAAGACAGAAGATCCAAATAAGCTCAACTGGAAACAAAATGAGAGATATTACAACCAACACCACAGAAATACAAAAGATCATTCAAGGCTGCTATGAACACCTTTATACCCACATAAACTAGAAAATCTAAAGGAGATTGATAAATTCCTAGAAATATATAACCCTTCTAGCTTAAATCAGGAAGAATTAGAAACCCTGAACAGATGAATAACAAGCAGCGAGATGGAGATGATAATTTTAAAAATTACCAACAGAAAAAAAATCCAGGACTAGACAGATTCACAGCTGAACTCTACCACACATTTGAAGGAGAATTGGTACTGATCCTATTGACACTATTCCATAAGAGATAGAAAGCGGGAATCCTCCCTAAATCATTCTATGAAGCCAGTATCACCCTAATACCGAAACAAGGGAAGGACATAACAAAAATCTACAGACCAATATCCCTGATGAACATAGATACAAAAATCCATAACAAAATACTAGCTAACTGAATCCAACAGCATATCAAAAAGATAATCCACCATGATCAAGTGAGTTTCATACCAGAGATGTAGGAATGGTTTAACATATCCAGGTCAATAAATATGATATGCCACATAAACAGAATTAAAAACAAAATTCATATAAACTCAATAGATGCAGAAAAAGCATTTGACAAAATTCAATATCGCTTTATGATTAAACTCCTCAGCAAAGTCAGCATACAAGGGACATACTTCAATGTAATAAAAGCCATCTATGACAAACCCACAGCCGACATAATGTTGAACAAGGAAAAGTTGAAACTATTCCCTCTAAGAACTGGAAGAAGACAAGGATGCCCATTCTCCACACTTCTATTCAACATAGTACTGGAAGTTCTAGCCAGAGCAATCAGACAAGAGAAATACATCAAGGGTATCCAAATCAGTAAAAAGGAAGTGAAACCTGTTGCTGTTTGCTGATGATACAACTGTATACTTAGAAAACCCTAAAGACTCCTTTAGAAAGCTCTTAGAACTGATAAACAAATTCAGCAGTTTCAGGATACAACATTAATGTACACAAATTAGTAGATTTGCTATACACCAGCAGTGACCAAGCTGAGAATCAAATAAAAAACCCAGCCCCTTTTACAGCAGCTGCAAAATATAAAATTCTTAGGAATATACCTAACCAAGGAGGTGAAAGACTTCTACAAGGAAAATTATAAAAGACTGCTAAAAGAAATCATAGATCACACAAACAAATGGAAACACATCCCATGCTCAGGGATGAGAAGAATCAATGCTGTGAAAATGATCATAATGCCAAAAGCAATCTACAAATTCAATGCAGTTCCCATCCAAATACCACCATCATTCTTCACGGAATTGGAAAAATCATATGAAACCAAAAAAGAGCCCACATAGACAAAGCAAGACAAAGCAAAAATAAGAAATCTGGAAGCATCACATTACCCAACATCAAACTATACTTATAAGGCCATAGTCACCAAAACAACAAGGTACTGGTATAAAAAATAGGCACATAGACCAATGGAACAGAATAGAAAACCCAGAGATACCCAAATACTTATAGCCAACTGATCTTCCACAAACCAAACAAAAACATAAAGTGAGGAAAGGACATCCTATTCAATAAACGGTGCTGGGACAATTGGCAAGCCACATGTAGAAGAATGAAACTGGATCCTCCTCTCTCACCTTATACGAAACTCTACTCAAGATGGATCAAGGACTTAAGACGCAAAATTATAAAAATTCTAGAATATAACATTAGAAAAACCCTTCTAGACATTGGCTTAGGCAAGGATTTCATGACCAAAAACCCAAAAGCAAATGCAATAAAAACAAAGATAAATAGGTAGGTGGGACTTAATTAACCTAAGAGCTTTCACATAGCAAAAGGAACAGTAAGCAGAATAAACAGACAACGCACAGTTGTCTCTTTATTTCTTTATATGAAAAAGATATTTGCACATGTTTATTTACAGAAGCACAATTCACAATTGCAAAAATGTGGGACCAGCTCAAATGTCCATCAATCAATGAGTGGACAGACTGTTATATATACTGTTATATATACTGTTACATATATACTGTCATATTTATACTGAGATATATGTATATATACATATATATGTAATGGAATAATACTCAGCCATAAAAAGGAACGAATTGATGACATTCACAGCAACCTGGATGGGATTGGAGACTATTATTCTAAGTAAAGTAACTCAGGAATGGAAAACCAAACATCATATGTTCTCACTCATAAGTGGGAGCTAAGCTATAAGGATGCAAAGACATGAGAATGATAGAAGGGACTTTGAGGATTTGGTGGGAAATGGCAGGAAGGGCATAAGGGATAAAAAAAACTACAAATTGGGTTCAGTGTATAATGCTCTGGTGATGTGTACACCAAAATCTCACAAATCACCACTAAAGAACTTACTTGTGTAACCAAAATCCACCTGTTTCCCAAAAACCTGTGGAAAGAAAAAAATACAAGAAAGAAAAAAAAGAAAAGAAAAATGAGTAAGAAAGCACTCAATGCACTGATGTAGGAAGAGCCTCAAGATCAGTGATAAGTGAAGACTGTGAGGTGCAGAAAACTGCTGCTCACCTGCACATTTCCATTCGCTCATAAACACACTTTTATTTGCTTAGAGAAAATATTGAAGGATTCTCAAGAACACAGTAAAAGTGTCTCCGTATGGGAGAAAGGGGAATGAGGCAGACTGGAGCAGAAGTAGGAAAAAGACTGTCTACTATATACCTCTTTATATTTTTGATTTTTGAACCATGTAAATGTATTATTCCCCCCCCCCAAAATTTTTCAGTTCTTTTTAAGTAGAATTTGAGTGTGTAGTATAATGTGATTCTCAAAAAGAAAACTCATTCAAATCACATTATTCCAAGAGTTTGAAACCATTATAAAAATCAACAAAACCTTTTAATGGCCCTGATATGAATACATATGCAATGAATTTCATTAATGTATAAATATAAGTGAATGAATAAATACATTATAAAATAAGGCATTGTTCAAATAAAAATGTAGCAGTTACCTTCTTTATTAGTAGTCCTAAAAACTTCATTTTCTCTTAGGTAACAAATTGAACAGGTACATTTAAATGTATCCTTTTAGGTCAGCAAAATGGTCCTAAAAATGGAGTTTATGGACAGTCCCAAGTTATCAAAAATCATCTATGGTGCCAGTGTTATGGGGAATATAACTAATATAATATCATTTTGGCTTGACACAAAATGATGTTCTTTTTTTTGCCCTGTATCAGTTTATTTAGGGAAATCATCCTTCTCCTCTCTTTATCTCTCTCTCTCTCTCTCTCTCTCTCTCTCTCTCTCTCTCTCTCTTTCTCTCTCTCTCTCTCTCTCTCTCTCTCTCTCTCTCTCTCTCTCACACACACACACACACACAATTTACACACACATATTGTGTAATTTAAGTGCAGCTATCAATCAAGTGGCCCACCTCTGCTGCCTCAGAAGTAGCGAAAGTTGACTGGTGTATTCCATTCTCCCAGCTACCCAGATTCCAAGGGTGAACAAAAGACCCAAGTTTGGCTAATCAGAGCCATTGGATAAGCAGTGAAGACTGTACAGATGAATGAAACAAGGGGGGTTCTGTACTTTTGAAATTACAAATTCTAAAAATCAGATATGCCTATAGCTGCCAGGTCATGTTATTGCTATCCTTTCTGAAAATAAACCCAACTTAGTGAAGACAACTGGGAAACCAATAAAATGAAATAAATCATGGTATTATCGGTGAACACTGGATCCAGCCATGCCTGAAGCCAGTCCACCCTTGGATTTGTTGACTTCATGAGCCAATGAATTCCCTCTTTTGTTGCCATTTTGAAACACAGCACAAGAGTTTTTCAATAAAATCTTTATGATTATTACCTGTGCATGTTCCAGAGTTTCTCCAGAAACTGTGGTCTTTCTTGGGATTATGTCTTAATTTATCAGGAGAATTTAGAAACTGTAGACTACGAAATTTAAGAGATTCAGAGAAATTCTTCATGTGATTAATGAATCTGGAGCAGGGCACTGCAGTTCTTTCATAACAAGGGATGCGCTGTAAGATAGAGGAGGAAAATACACAAAATAAAATTACATCAATGGCTCCAAAATAATTCATGCCACCTTATACTCTTACTTCCCTAAAGTGAGTGATATTTTAAAAATATTTTCGCTTCTTTATTCTTTAAATGAAACGATCCTGAAACGACCACAGTTGACTCTAGTTCCTTTACATGCACATTCCTGTTGTGTATTCATTAAAGAAGCTAATTAACTTAATTTTTTGTTCACTGAAAAAAATCTTATTCAGTTACACTATATGCTAGATATTATTCTAGACACTGGGGATACAAGAGTGAAGTCTCTGCCCTGATGAAATTGACATATTAGTGGAGGGTGACAAAAAATAAACACATATATCTATAATAGATTGGATGGTGATTTTTCTATTGCTAAGATGAAAAACATGATGAAGTTAAAGGGAATGGAAAAATGTTTAGGGATTGGAAAAATGTTTAGGGAAGTGCAATTATTTATATACAAAAATAAGAGATACCTTCTCAGACAGGGTGACATGAAAACAAGGATTCACAGGCAGAGATGGAGTGGCCATGTGAGGTCTTAGATGAGAGTCATTCCAAGCACTGGGAAGAGCCAGTGTACACATCAGAGAGTGGAGAGGCAGGGGATAGGGAAGGGGGTCAGAAGGTGGAAAAGAGGAGGCTCTTAAATCAAGCTTTGCCACCTTGAAATAACAAAAACAGAAAATAAAGAGGAGGAAGAGCTACAAAGATATTGGATCAATAATATGAAATAAGGTCATAAATAAGGATCCGATTTGATTCAAATTAAAAGCTAATCATTCTAAAACCTAAAGCTATAAAAACCCTGGAAGATAACCTAGGCAATACCATTCTGGACATAGGACTTGGCAAAGATTTCATGAGAATGACACCAAAAGCAATTGCAACAAAAACAAAAATTGACAAATGGGATTTAATTAAACTAAAGAGCCTGCACAGTAAAAGAAACAACCAACAAAGTAAACAGACAACATACAGAATAGGAGAAAGTATTTGCAAACTATGCTTCCTACAAAGGTGTAATATCCAGAATCTATGAGAAACTGAAACAAATTTAAAAGCAAAAAACAACTCCATTAAAAGATGGGCAAAGGATCCAAGCAGAAACTTTTCAAAATGAGACATGCATGTGGCCAAGAAGCACATGAAAAAATGCTCAGCATCACTAATCATTAGAGAAATGAAAATCAAAACCACAATGAAATACTATCTTATACCAGTTAGAACGGTCATTACTAAAAAGTCAAATAATAACAGATGCAAGACTGCAGAGAAAAGGGAACACTTACACACTGCTAGTGGGAGTGTAAATTAGTTCAGCCATTGTGGAAAGCAGTGTGGTGACTTCTCAAAGAACTTAAAACAGAATTATCATTCGATCCAGCAATCACATTATTGGATATATATACACAAAAGAATATAAATCATTCTAACATAAAGACACAAGCTAGTGTATCTTCATTGCAGCACTACTCACAATAGCAGACATGGAATCAATTCAAATGCCTATTACTGTTGGACTGGATAAAAAAAAAATGTGGTACATATACACTGTGGAATACTATGTGGCCATAAAAAAGAATGTTACCATGGTCCTTTGCAGCAATGTGGATGAAGCTGCAGGCCATTATCTTAAGCAAACAAACACAGGAACAGACACCCAAATACCACATGTCCTCACTTGTAAGTGGAAGCTAAACCACAAAAAACATGGACACTAGAAAGCGAACAAGAGGCACTAGGGCCTATTCGAGGGTGGAGTGGGGGAAGAGGGAAATAATCAGAAAAAAATATGCTATGAGGTACTATGCTTATTATCTGCTGAGGAAGTTATCTGTTCACCAACCCCTGTGGTACACAGTTCACTCATATAATAAACCTGCACATGGACTCCTGAACTAAAATAAAAGTTAAAAATTAATAATATAAATAAATAAAAACCACTCATTAAACATGTAATCAGAACCAACTTTTCATGAGTGTTGATGTGTAATTTTTGTTGTTTGGATATAATTAGATATTATCAATTTAGATTTATATAGATTTGGATATTGGATATTAATGTATGGATAGTGCTGTTTAGATATTATGAATACTATGTGTTCAGGATAGCATTAACTTACTAAGTCTGTACAAGATCAAATCATGACTTCATGAGCAATAGTATCTTATCGAAAGGGTAAGGTTTTCATCTTGTCACTTCACATGGCCTCTCACTCATCCTACTCTACCCATCCCCTTAGGAAAATGTTTGTGACTCAAGCCAGAAACTATAAGCTAAGTGGGAGGGTCCTAGGAGGGCACTGGAGTAGGAACTCTCTCTCTTTTCCGTGACTGTGGACCAAGGAGGCAGAGATGGAAGCTTAAGAAGATACACGCCCCTTAAACGGCAGGAAGCAGCTGGGACGTGAAAGACCCAGTCCAGTTATACTAGTCATGGAGCATGGGAGATTAACTAAGGAAGAGTCAGAAACCTACACTTCATAAGACTTTTTTGTTGCTAGCATTTTCTTTCTTTATATTTGTTTGATATTTAATAAGGTCTTTTTTAAAAATCATCACAGATGAGCTAAAATAAGTGAAAAGGAGAGAATTTCTACCATTTTGAAGAGAGAGGAGAACCACAGGAACAGCAGTGATGCCAAGAGGGACCTTGAAAGAAAGTAAAATGAGAGAAAATCTATTTTCCTGACTTGGTTAGAGTCACTGTCCATCTAGACAGTATCTGCGCATGGGCAATCTTGGAGGGGATAACTCAGAGCAGGGCCTGTAGAATCATGAAGGCCCACATCCAAGTCTCATCTCCACACCCCGCTCATTATACAAGCTAGGACAACTTACCTTCGCTATTCCTATTTCTACCTTTGCAAAATGGGGCTAATGGTATCCTGCAACAACTACCACCCCCATTTTATGGATGAAAAACTAAGTAACTTATCAAAGCTATAGAAGTAGTAAGTATTGAAAGCCAGTTTCAAATCCACTCTTTCCTACTCCAAAGCCCATGTTTTTAACCCCATTCCATAGTGCTTCCTCATTTTACAGTCAGCACAGCCAGCAATAAAAGTGTCCAAACCAGAACCTAGAAGATCATCCAGGCCTCCTCTTCCTCCCTTATTCTTCAAATCTATGCACAACCATTTCCTGTCAACCTCACTCTCTCAGTGTTCCCCGGTCCCATTCCCTCCTCTGCAGTCCTCTGCCACCTATTAACATCTTCATCCACATCCCTGCTTGCAGTTCACCTCCATGGAATTCTCTTTCTCACATTATCTTTCTAAAACCCAAGTCTAAATATGGCGTTGGCCTACTTAATAGTGTTCATTGATTTCTCACCATTTAAATAGTGGTTCTCAAACTATACCATGCACAAAAATCAGCTGGTAAACATGCTAAAATGCAAATTTTGATTCACATGTGTCTAAAGGGATAAGCCCAGGGATATGCACTTTTAGCAGTTATCCTGGGTGACTGATACAAGTGATCAATTTCTTGTTTCTCCAAGTGTGGCTCAGGACCCAGCATCACCAGCCTCACCTGGGAGCTTGTTAGATATGAAGATTCTCTTGCCTCACTCTAAAACCTACTGAATCAGGATCTGAATTTTAACAAATCTCCAGCCCATCACACTCTGACCTAAAGAATCAAACACAAAATCCTTTCTATGGTGTAGGAGGCTGGTCATGACCCACCATCTATTTATCTCTTGACCCTAACCCCATCTAACAGGACTGCCTTCTCTGTGATACAAGTATAACAAAGTAGGAAAACTGAGGCACCAAAAAGCTAAGGCAGTGAGCTTCATCTTCTTCATCTTGGTCAACCCAGTGCCTAGCACAGTCCCTATTACATGAATCATGCTGCTTCATTGATACATGTTGAATTTAACTGAATGGAATTAATCTGTGTTTTAAAACTAACTTTGACATGCAGTATCATATTCAAACTGTACCTTTCATCAGGGTATGATTTACTGAAATGAAAAAGGATGAATGGAGACAAAGACAGCCCACATCATGGGCCAGATGCATCTTACTCCTTAAAACACCTTACATTTCTTCGTTGGGCAGGGGAGATGGGTACTGATTCCTCTCTGCGAAGACCCTGTGACTTAGTTGATTCAGTGCCTGAAATCAAACCCATGCTCTATATTATTAAAGCACAACCCCTACCCTTTTTTTTAAGATGAGCAAACTTTCACCACAAAGATACAAGAACAGTAAATATTGATCTTCTTGACGGATGGTGCACCTCACGCCCCAGGCCACTCAAGCATCTGCTCATTACCACCAGCCCTCCCCTTTGTTGGGAAATAATGCCAAGTGGCCTCATGTGCTATCGGCTGCAGATTGCAAATATTTAAAAGAAATAAATTTCTCTGAATGAAAAGCACCTTTCTTTGTATTCTAACCCCCTCTCCTCCCAAGTCATGTTGATTTTGGGGCTGTGCACACTCCCAGCACCTGTACATTTCCATTGTTTGCCTGCCAAGAACACTGTGGTTTTCTTGCTTAGTTTTAGGAGCCAGTCTAAGTACAGTAGCCAATGAAGGCATATTTTCTTTCTCTCTTGGCAATATGTAATGGAAGCATCAACTTCAGGACACTTAACAGCATCTGTAATTAGAGGCCAGGGAAAGAAACTGGAATTTCTCCATCTCAGTATTCGTCTCATATGATCATGAAAAATGTACCACCATTGCATGCCAAACCAAAAGTATAGGTTTCTTCAACATCCTTATTATTTGGCAGAAAGTTTTCTAAATTGGTTTTGCTGAAATCCAGAATCATTCTTTAATGGAAAAGTAAGATCTAGACAATAAAATAAGAATGGGATTTCAGCAAGTGGAAAATCAATTTGTGATTGAGAATAGCCACTAGATATACAAATCCAAGTGTCTAAATATATAAATGTTGAATCAAACTATTATTTCTTCTACAGGAAGCATTATCTATTTGATGTGGTATCATCA